TTGTAGCATTCCATTATGGGAAGCTCGGAGGTAAATATAGATAGACAAACTCCCTATTGCAACGAGGGCTATCTTCCAGGGTTGTGTGACAAATTTTCATGTTAGGTGACGACTATATGAAAAGTTGTCATTGGACAGACAAGAAGTGTGGAGTGGCCTAAAACATATTTAGAGCTTGTTTAGAATATATTTTTGAGGGAAGAATTGATTTTGAATAGGGATATGATGGGAAATGTGTGGTTGAAAAAGAAAAAAAAATTATTGATGTGATGAAAAATATTATTTTATTGAAAAATGTGTGATTGAAAATGAGAATTGATTTACTGTAGAAAAATTTAATCCCTCCCAAATAAGGCCTTAGTCATATTGGTTCTTGTTTGATTTTCATTAAGGGTCTGTTTGATTGCAAAGTTGAAAAATTGGTGGAAAGAAAATGAAGTTCAGGGAATTAAATTGTTTAGAAATTATTTTACTAGGAATTGTAATTAATTGTATTTGATTGGTATAATTTTTCACTTGAAAAATGTTGAAAGTTTGGTTTCCGTTTGACTTTGTTTTTCATGAAAATTGGCCATTAAAATGATAATTTTTTGTACCATTGAGTCTAGAATTTGTTCCAATTTCCAAAAAATTAAAAAAAATTACAATTTTTTTTTACTATACCGAATATCATTTGTTTAGCTTTGTTTTGTATGAAAATTGTCAATAAAAGTGATAATTTTTTTTATCATTGTGTCTAGAAATTTATCTAATGGCAAAAAAAATTTAAAAAACAAACAAAGAAACAAATTACCTGAAAAACCATTTTCCCACCTATTAGGAGGGAAAATGAATTCAGGGAAATAAAGGAAATTGTCACTGTGTAAGCCAAAGTGGGAAAATGGATTCCCTAGAAAAAAAACCAATCAAACACATGAAAAGTGAGAAAATAGAAAATGTTTACATTTTCCATGGAATTTGGTGGCTATCAAACACACCCTAGGAGGGAAAAAAAACAGTAAATACAAAAGTTTGAAAATACATACCCCTCATTCAGTGGACGCTAACAGAAATTCAAAACCCATCATCAAGATCATATATTCTTCTAACTAATGGCAGATTAATGATTGAAATGAGACGAAAAACAAAAAATAGCAGTACAAGTGCTATAACAAGTGAAGCCCTGTTTGGTAATTTTAATTTTAATTTAAATCAAAGTAAAAAATTAATTTAATCATGAAACCCACAATTTTTCAGCACTATCGACTTTTATCAAAATTTACTAAAAACATAATTTTAATCCCCACCAACATAAGCTTAGCATAATTCTAAAGTGAAGGATTTGGAGACGATAAAGTTGCGATTTTATTAATGGGATCTGGCGTTTGTCAACAAAAATTCATTGTAATTTAAGAGGATTGCGTAAATACATTTTGGAAATATTTAGGGCCGAGTCCTCAATCTTTTCTAAAAGTGCTAATAACCCCAGACCCTTTATTTTTTATCACTAACATACTTCAAATTTGGATAAATATGCAGGGCAAAAATCTATTAGTTGTAGCATGTGCAATTTGTTCTGTTATATGTTTTAAGATTACATATAATTCATGATCCATGAAAATACTCGAACAATTTCACTCTCTCTAAAAACTGTTCAAAGAAAACTAGGAAAATAAATTGTCAAAATTTATTATGAAATTACAATAAAATAATAAAAGAAAGGAACTAAATAAGTTCTTGTTTGGGGAAGTAATTAAATTACCATTTCCCAAAAAGTAACATCAATAATTCTTGTCATCTACTCTTCATTGCAACATCAAATACAATTCGTACCCAGTAAGGAAAACTGGACAAAAGATACATTGATCCATACATAACAACATTAATAACAACTACCATTATCTCAGAAAACAGAAAAATTCCGACACATTACTCATTAATTCCATGTATGAGAATGCAACGCGTTACAACAGAAACAACTCAAAATACAAAGTAATATTGTTGTGAAGACAGCCAGATGAGGTTTAATTGTGGTGTAAAATGCATTCCCATTTAAAAGAGTACGAGAATGCAAATATTTCCTTAAAAGATGATAACATTTGTCCATTGGACGATATAAACTTTTTACAGAAAACCATTGAATTACTTCCTGATTGAGAGGAACTCGAAGCTTCGAAGAGGGTCATCGCGAGCACCTTTAGTGGGTGCAGCACGAGAGAAAGATGAGGGTTTAGGTTCCATCCCAGGTTGAATCATTTGTCTGCTTGATACCAATCTGGGTTCACCAGAGGAGCTTGGTCTGTAGCTTGAAATGGCAGCTCTCTTTGAAGAGCTTCCATTTCGAGAAGTTTGGCCTCTTTCTAAATCTGGTTGCTGCAAACAAGGAACCATAACGGAAATGTCAGTACAATTTGCCAATACAAGGACCTGTTTGCCATACATTGCATAACAAAGAATCAAATAGCAGCACCAGGTTCCTTAGCTATCAGATTTTCTTAGAGATAACACAGAAATGAAATTAGTGACACTTCAACTCCCAACTCCCTGACAAGTCCCAATAAGAGAAAAGTGAGAGAGACGCGAGTAACGTTAGCCACCAGGAAAATGAAACGTAAATATTACCCAAATATGCATCTATCGAATCATGTAAAAAAAATTGTTTTCAAATATCAAACCAGAAGCAGATTTTTGTCCCGTTTAACCAATTCCCCATTTCCACCAAAAATCTCACTCTCATCTCATGACCATATAAGTACAAACAGAAGAACAAATAATTTGTTGTAGGTAAAGGAAAAAAATACCACATCCTTGGATGAAGGTACATCTGATGTCCTGTGTCTAGAATGTTCACCATGCCAACCTGACCCTGAAGGATTTTTTCTGGAAAAAGCTTCAGGAGGGCCTGAGAATCGATCTCGAACGTCTTGACCCACTGGATGACATAACCAAATCAAATAAAAAAAGCAACAATAAATTTACCAGGCACCAGCTGCATCACTATTTAAATGTCATAAACTCAATATGTTAATACATGTTATCCATTCCCTACAAACAGCATAATTGAAACTAAAGCATATATCAGTGTATGTGGCCAAACAAAAGGAAGAGAACAATAAAATCTTCATTTCCAGGAGCTCATTTTAGTCAAACAAATATACCTGATGTTCTTCCTGGTCTTTCGCCAGAGGTTCCAGCCCCTGCATTTCCACTGGAATTCTGGAAGCAAAGGCATGAGCTAGTATATTATCCTATCATAGATGAAAAGGCAAAATGAAGTTACGAAAACACTTACTCGTGTTCTTGAACTAGCACCAATCTGAGGATACTTCAATATAGTCCAATCAAACACGTAGTCAAATTGGTACCCTGCACCAATAAAGTCAAAATGTAGATATTGCAACATGTGCATGCTGAAGACAAGATACTTGACAAGGTATTCAACAAAACCAGACCAGAAAGTATTTCAATTGAAGAGATCTTGTGGGTACAGTCAACTAGAAGTTGGAAACTGAGACAGAATAACAGTTTACGGTCATTACCTTCACGAATAAATAAGTCTCGGAAAAGCCTCTTCAAATAAGAATAATCAGGCTTGTCCTCAAATCTTAATGATCGGCAATAGTGAAAATATGATGTGAACTCCAATGGATATGATTTGCACAGCACCTATGAAAAAATTGTAATAAGGTGAACTTTGTGCAACTGTCGCAACCAACCACCACGGCCAAGATGATAAAACTTGGACCGGATTTAGCATCCAGAAACAGGGGAAACTAGTATTTAATTAAACCAAATCCACTCTAAAATAATTTACACACAGAGCATAATAAAGAAAAACCTTTATTGCATCTTATGCAACAAAATGTGCAGAAGTAAACTCTTCATCATTGATGACAAACAATTAAGGCAAGCAAACTTAGCTCATATGTCAATAACCAATATCAGCCTAGACATCACGTATGATGCAAAAACACAGCAGGCGTGGATTTTTAAGCAGGCAAATTATTCAAATGAACTAGGTAAGAAACTTTCCAGTTACAAACATGCTTGGCTAAGTTACCTTCTGACTATTTCTCTCTCATGCTTATAAGCTAATCTCCAAATAAGCCCCACCCAAACATGCAGTAAGGAAAAAAAGTTACTTGTTTTGAAAGTTATGCTTACCTTAGTGCTCATTTCTAATTCTGATTAGTTGAAAAACTATTTTCAAAACTTACTTATTTACTTAAAATTAAACTCACAAGTTATTCTACACTGAGGCCAAACATAGTCAACTACTACTTAAAGCCCTAACAAATGTACCATTTCGGGCATGCTATTTCAAGCAGGGAATAGCTTACATGTAATACGAAATCCTGACCTACATACCTCTATAGGAGTTAACATCTTCTTTTCACTAATCTTGTCATATTTCTGCTTTTTGGTGCCAGCTCTCAGTCCCTGCCAGGGGAGGCTGAGATAAAAAAACAAAATAAAATAATATTCAAGTAAAACTTCCATCTTGGAAGAAAAAATGCCTAACAAGTAAAAAGGGAAATTGAATTCCTCATATCCAACCAACCTTCCTCTCAGGAAATACATAAGGACATAACCAAGAGATTCCAAATCATCTCTCCGGCTTTGTTCTGCCATAAATTTATAGATGAACAGATTGAAATAAATTAGATTGCATTAAAGAAAGGTAAGTTTCCCTATTAGAAACAACTTATGATAACATATTACATTACTTACCAACTCCAAGATGAGTATTAACACTGGCATAACGAGCAGTACCTGTGAGATTCTTGTTTTCCCTAGATCATAAAACGTTTAGAAGTTTGCACAATAAGTAAACCAATGGCAAAAACTGATCAATTATGACAGAATATCAGACATAAGACACAATAATTAGAAATATCCAAAGATACATGATTTGTTATTCTCAAAAAATTCTCACTAATGCCAATCAGGGGCCACAGAGATAGGATCCATTAAAGAGACGAGGATATTTAAAGCCTGTTTCTTTCCCATTTTTATAGTAAGAATAGTAAATGGATGAAAAATGTGGTTAAAAAGGAAAAATTTCTGGTTTGCGTGTAATATTATTTTATTGAAAAATGTGTGGTTGAAAAAGAAGAGAGAAAAATGTATTTTAAGAAAAATGGGTATCAAACAAGGGCTTAATAAGATTAATTGCAAGCCAATTCATATTATGCTGTCTTGATGTCTAATCTAGTTGAGGCAGTAAGGCCTGAAGATAGATCACCACAGGCATACAACTTTCTACCCTTCATCAATTTTTATTTCTAAAAGAGTCATATCTTATTTTATTTTAATGGAATTTTGAACCCCCCCCCCCTCGTTTTCTCCCACTTTCTATCCCTTTCTTGTGGGTTGGGGTTAGGATACTCTTGTGAGCTAAGAACTTGAGAGCATAATTTTGTTTCTAAATTGTCAGCACTCAGCAGCTCAATAGAGTTGTGTAGATGCTTTTATAGAGAAAGAGAAATGTTCAGTAGCAAGCTTTTGTTCATTTATCCAACTAGCAAGATCAGCAAAACAAAACAAAATCAAGTGCACACCCACATCAAGATAATATTTCTCTTTCTTCCCCGCACTTAACTTTGCTTCCAAGCTTATTCTATATTGGTTATAGGCCAACAAATAAACTTTATACTTAATTTCCCTTTGTAAAACCTTTATAAAGATGCCATGCTTCTCTTGTGTCCATAAGCCACCACTTATTAGTCAGATTCCAATAACAAGATGAGTTATTGAGAGTGCTTGGATAAAATTGTAATGTGATAGAAATGTGCAATTAAAATTAATGTTTTGAAAAGTAAATAAAAGTTACTTTCAATTTTATCCAAACATATGCTTAGTTTGCAATTAATTTTCACTATGGACCATCCAAATCAGTGCAATTTTTTAGAGTCTTTCTAATGGTCGAAGACCTGATGATGTAGAACGTAACATGCAAAGAAGACAATCGTGCAATTTCACCTAATTAAAATATGAAGGCAAAGTACCTATAAGGTATGTGTTTATGAGTCTGGAGATCCCTATATTTTTTGGCAAGACCAAAATCGATAACATAAACCTGCAATAAAGATTTAAATCAAAAGTTAAAACAATTATGGTATAATATAATGACAATGAAAGGCAAATTATGTATAAATTCTATAATGTTTATGAGGCGGGAATAAGAAAAAAGTTCCCCATAAATTTTGAACATTTAAAAAAAAAAAGAAGAAGAGCCCAGTGGACAAAGAAACAAGTTACCAACTGTGTTCAAGGTTAAAAAAAATATATAACCATGCCAAATAAGTTGCAACAAGGTAACAAGCATCTCTGAAAGTATTATATATTTGATGAAATGAAACCAAAATACTTAGTAACAACCTAGACATGCTCATCCAATACAGATTTAAGTTTAAGAATGATAGAAGGCATACTTGGTTTGCTTTGCGCCCTAGGCCCATCAGAAAGTTGTCTGGCTTTATATCACGGTGAAGAAAACCTCTTGAATGCATGTATTCAACTCTATTAATCTGTAAGTAAAACAAACATTAGCAGCTAGAACCACAATCTATAGAGAGAGAAACTTATAAAAATTCTAGTTACTTACTAATTGATCTGCAAGCATCAATACTGTTTTCAAGGAGAACTTCCTGTTACAGTAGTTGAAGAGATCTTCCAGACTTGGTCCAAGAAGGTCTATAACCATAATATTATATTCCCCCTCAACTCCAAACCATTTCAGGTTGGGAACGCCCGCTATTTGACAACAGTAAGCAACAGACAATTAGATTAACATGTCAAAATCACATCGTTTTGCAAAATTGCACTAATAGTTTAATGGAAAGTTATAACCCCTGTTAATTAGTATATACATGCAGTTGAGATACATAGTCAGGAACTAAAAGAAGAAATAAAACAAAAGACAAAGGAAAGTAAGACAAAGGAAAGTAGATTTTTCTATCAACTTGAATTTAGAAGAAATTTTCTAACTTTCTGGAAGGTTAAATAAGACTCCCCACCCCCTGAAAGAAAGTTTTATAATAAAACCAAACGCTGGGGTAGAAAAGCGGGAAAAGAGAAGACTTATCTCTTAAAGGGTGTATTGATTGCATCATGACCGCCACAGATTATAAAGCCACCAAAGCATTTTTTTACAAAGTTTTATTTTAATCCACAAAATGATTATTGATAAAAATATGTAGAAAGTAACAATTAACAAGAAAGACAGAATAAAATTACAGCATTTGATTAAAGTTTTTCAAGTCTTGATTGAGAAAGGAAGAAAAAGAGAGAGACTCACTTCCTCCTTGAAGAAGCATATAAATTTTAGATTCATAGTGAAGTTGAGGGTGCTTGGTCTTCACAGATTCCTGGGAAATACACAAGTTCCAACAAAAATTTGGGTGAGAAACATAGAATCTGCAGTAATGTAATATCAACTCATATATTCTCGACTATTTTTGTTATATTAGTAACTTGTAGCTTCTTGAGTGGAGAACTTGTAGAATTACAAGAAATCCTAAATAAACTTCAAGTCATTACAAAGAAACACATTGTTTTCATGACAAAAGGCCCTGCAAACAATATCAACAATTCAACATATGAAAGGCTGCTTATATATCCTTGCCTTGTGAACCGAAAAGAGAATATGGTTTGCCACATAGGCACAGTTAGTCATTATTAGATAAGTACTAATGCGATTTCATCACAAAAAGGGATTGGTCTACCGTATAAACTACTCATACAGTTTCTACAACAAAATTTTGATTTCATAATAGATTAGCAACCAAACACTTCATAATCTTATTTGACAAACTGCGCTATTGCCCTTATAGAGAAATGTCTGAGATCATCCCTGTGGTGTTTTAATACTACTAATCTTCCCATGATTACAAATCTTTATCTTGCAATTACATCCAATATTCTCACAGAATGAAAAAAATAAAAAAACAGAAGTAAATAACCATAAATCCAAATATCTAAGAAAATGTTGCTAAAATATTTTATTGGTGAAAAATATGGAAAACCCACTACATATTGTGCTGAAAACATAATTGAATCCAAAGGATTGCATTGCTCGGAAATTATATAAAACGCAAGAAGTTAAAAACAGAAGACGAATATGAACAAGCATACCAGCTTGATGGCTACTTCTTCTCCATTTTGAATGTTTACACCTACATAAGTAAATTAAACAAACGGAATTTTTTTTAAAAAAGGAAAAAAAAAAAAAATAACCTTAACTGCAACAGACAAGGAATTATATAAAGTGGGTACCTAAATAAAGTTCACCAAATGAACCACTCCCAATTTTCCTTCCAAGCTTAAACTTTCCACCCACAACGTGATCCATGGCAATTGATTCAATGAAATAACTCCCAGATTATAAAAATACCTCCACACAACTCCCAGTCAATTTTTTTCAACTTCAACGGGTATGGGATAAAAAGACCCAGAATACCACGATAACGGACAGAATAATCACCACCAATCCCCCAAAAAGTATAAGCAAATTACAAAATTACCACACTCACAGCCGATCCTAGAAATCAATAAAAACAAAACGATCGAGAATAATTTTTACTCGAACTACATCCTCAAAATAATAGAAACCCTGAACCGAAACCCTAACGCGTGAAAGGGTAATCGATTCTCATTGACGAAATCTAAACAGGAGAAATCAATATCTAAAATATATATTGATATTCGAAAAGCAAGCGTGGTTTTGCTTATATTTTACTGGCAATGGATGAATCACGGCGATGAAGTAGAAAAAGGGTAGACAAATGAACGAAATTTGAGGATTAGAGAAAAAGGAAAGAGAGGAGAGACCTGTACAGAGATAGAAAATGGATTTGGTGCAAGTGCGTGTTTTCGTGTGTAACACGCACTCTATCTCTCTCTCTCTCCGGGAGGGGAGGGGGAAAAAAAATCCCAATACCGTGGACCCGCACCAAAGGGTGGCAGTATTACTCGTCTAACCTGGTAAAATGAGCACGGACGGTGCGATGGTCATTACTTCAAAGTGCTGTACAGGACGGATACGTAAAATATAGTCCCGTCTCAATGCACTGTCCCATTTAAAGTTAATTTTAAATTTAAGAGAGTATGTGGTGGAGATTAAAATGAAATTTTTAGTAGATTGTAATAAAAGTTTTTGAAATGTGTGGTTGAAAAGTTGTGTGATCTATGAAATATGTGGTTAATATTAATTGTTTGACTTTGATGATTTTAATCATAACTAAACATGTGCTCAATTATCAAACAAAAATAATAGATTTATCATCATTGTTATAGAGTACATAAGTTATTTTTAACAAATTGGTAAAAAAATAATAATATTTACTAACTAAAGATATAAAAAATAAAAATAAAATGGTACGATAAATGGGGCAGGGGTCCCGCCCCGTTCCACTTTAACCAAATATGAGGATGTGGTAAAATAGCAAAAATAATTCTAAAGAACGGGTAGAATGACGGACGCATCTTATACCCGTTCTGTTGCCAACCTTAGGGGAGGGAGACGAAGAAAGAATGATTATAACCCACGAGTGGTGTGGTGGGGATTTTAGAAAAAGAAAGCAGATTCGTACATAATTATTTTGTTTTTTAATTAATAATATTCTTTTAGCCTTGTAAGTTTTCCACTAAATTGTTCCAACTTTTCATAAATGACCATAGTCTTCCACTTATGGCAATATATCCCAAATGTCTTGACCCCTATCCAATTTTTGGGTCAATTCCACCTTCGTATTATTTAAAGGGAGAATGTTAAATAGCTCGATGTACTGACTGTTAAGGACTCAAGGAAGTCTTACCTTAACAATCAATTTCGCTTTTTGGGTGTTGACCGCGAAGAGCTAGGAGTGAAAGAGTGCACTCTCTTTTCTTCGAGAAATCGAAAGTAGCTTATGGGGCAAGTCAATCGGTTTAAGAATTAAAAAAATAAAACGTTAGAGCGAGCATAGATTTAGGGTGTGTTTTTCTCCCATTATTTGGAGAAGAATAGAGTAACGAATAGTATTTTTTTGGAGAATGTGTGATTGAAATTTAAAATAACTTTATTGGTTTGTGTGTAAAATATTTTATTGGGTGAATGTGCGGTGAAAAATCTTAGTGTGGCAAATATTTTTTAGAATAATGGTAAACAAACAGGGACTTAATTTGCAATTAGGGGTGGGGATAGGGGGACCGACTCTCATCTTTTTATGTCCGAAATCAAATCATAATAAATAAAGGGACTTTAACTTAATGAAATCAAAGTGGTTTGTAGCGTAGTGTTAAATTTTCTACTTTTGATTTAGGAGACAAGGTTTCGGATCCTTCCAGCTGCATTCTATTTGAAAAAATTGCGCAATTAGTCCCAAACATTTAGGACCTTTCGAAAAAAACTGTCTCCACCTTTAAATCAAATTTTTAAATCATTATCCTTGAGTTCCATTGCGTATTTTATCATTTTTACATAATTTTATTAATATTAGTGTTAAATTTTTTCTCATGTGAGATGAACGACAAAATAATATATTAGAGGGTGTTTGGTGGAGATTAAAATTAAATTTTTACTAGATTGTGATAGAAATTTTTAAAATTTTTGGTTGAAAAGATGTGGTTAATATTGATGGTTTGACTTTGACTTAAATTAAAATCAGATTTTAATCCGACCCAAACATGCCCTTAATATATAGCCTAATCTTTCAAATCAAATCGTTCTATTCATTTTAAATTTCAATAGTTTTATTGTTCACTTTTTAATTCTGTTCTCTGTGTCAACTACCACTAAATTGTGGCTTCAAAGCAAAAATCCTCACTCCACTACTCCACACAATGCAACGTCTCATTAAAGTTATGATTGGCCTAAGTCTTCTTTTCTTTTTTTTTTTTGGTGATAAAAGGGAAAATTGCATGGATAGTCTCATTCTATACTTCGACTACAATGATGTCCTTAAATAATTTTGCTTGGTCAAGTGTATAATCATAGCTTAGAATAATTGATGAATTATACCTAATGAAGATGAAGAATGAACTATTGCTTTTTGTGTAATAGCACAACCTCCAAAACCCTAAGTATATTCTAATTAATTATATAATTTAATATCTCTATTGTGTGGACACTTTATGCAACTCAAGTTGTGTCTCTATTAATAGGTTTGTTTACCACCTTCATCTCGAAAAGAAAATCTTGTAGCAAGAGCTTTTCACGAAGGAGATGATCGCTAACATTTTGAATGCATCGCTCGAGAAAAAGAGTGATGTGAGATAAGTGCAAGGAGTCGTTGATTCCAATCTAGTACCGGTGAAAATAGATGTAAGTGGTATGCTGTTTGCAATTTTAGAGCATGTTTGGTCAAGCTTAAAATTCAATTAAAATTGAAAAAATAGTCATTATTGGTCCTATTTGTATAATAAAAGTCAACAATAAGGACTAATTTTTCAATTTTAATCTGATTTTAATTTCTACTAAATACGCTCTTAATATAGTCAAGGTGTCATCATGTTACATTTGAAGATTAGAAGAAGTTAGAATGTTGAGTTGCAATTTTGAAATTATAAGGGTTTGATAAACATTGAGACGTAGTCGGCCACTTCATGATTTCAACAAGAGTTTGTAAAAGTTTCAAGTGCCTCAACATATGCTTATAAAGTAATCGCAGATAAGATACGTGGTACAATTTTAACATTTTTTCACAAAAAAATTATTAGTATTGTTATGAATTTGGAGCGTAAGATAATAACGATAATAAAATAAACAAGAAAATAAATATCAAAATTTTCGTGGAAATTCAATACGGGAAAAAAAAACAATGGCCAAAGGAGGAGAAATCCACTATAATCAATAACAGTTATGTTTACAAGATCTCAATGCACTCAATTCATATCTAAAACTCTCAAAATATTGTATGAATCTCTTTCTATTATGTTCTGTTATATTATTTTATACAAGTCGTGCCATATACATATATATATAAATCATAGAGAACGAGTTTTAGAAGAATATGAGTCCAAAATCGTGTCAAAAAATGAAAAAGAGCCTCGACCTGATAAGCAGCGCCAAGTGAGCAACCAAGTCTCGAGTTGTTTTCTACCGGACTTGCTCGAAAGTCCAGCTAGTGAAAATGCAACGACTTTTTCCTCCGATCCATAATTTTGATCTCTTTAAGATTACTCTAATTTAGATTCCATTACCCACTAAAATTTGAGTCAAACCACAACAAGTATCGATTTCTATTTTACCTTTTCATGATATATCTCGAAGGAACATCTAACGATGAAGTTGAAAATTGATTCAAATTCTCAACACTTTCATGTAAACACTACTCGACAACACACATTTCTTTCCATGTTGATTGTAGACATCTCCGAATTATTGAATTCTCCCTAAGCTATCCCTCAATGAAGAATTTTGACCACAATAGACGCGAATTAGACGAAAATTAATTAGGTAGATTGATGCATCCATGTACTCTACATGCTATACATTACTAAAGATCAGTACTCACCATGTACAATTAAGTGCACGTTTGGAAAAGTTTGAAAGTTGTTAAAAAGTTGAGATCAAAGTCAAGTCAATAATTAATTTTGATTCTGTATTTTGTGGAATCCACGACTTTTTTCGATTTTTCAACCACAAATTTCTTTTAACTTTTATCAAAATTTGCTTAAACTTTTATCATAATTAAGCTTTGTCAAACACCCCTTGAGAGTATAAAAACAAGCATTGATGCATAGAATAATTATCTTAAAGCAAGTGAAGTCCAAGCAGAAGCAGTATACAAGCTAGTGTCCTTCCACCCAAGTCTGAGAGTTCCATCTCCTTGGACAAGGCTATAGCCATGAGCAGGAGGGAACATATTGAGTATTAGTTGTGCTTGAGCCATGGAGTTTGTACTCATTTGAATTTGTATGAATCCATTTCTTGAAAGTTCACTCCTCCATTGCCTCAACTTATCTTCCCCACTTCGCGCTGGCCCTCCAATTGCCAATACATTGTTAATCTCTCTATACAAAAGGCAATGCTCGACGTGATGACGACTTGAATCATCACTTGGCAAGAAGGCTCCGAGAGAGTCGAAAATGGTGGAATAGTAATGGAGGGAACTTACAAAACGGTCCAAGAAAGAGCCCCCATGTCCTATTTCTTGCTCCACTAACGTAATCACTCTCGGGGATAGACACTGAAGGAGCCTCATTGTCTTCCAATCAGGTCCCGTGGCGTCGTAAAAAGAATGTTGCAGCCAATGCACGGCTAATGCTTCTCCTTTTTGGATTTGCAACATGGATAAATCGATGTTCCCAAACTTTTTGGCCACGGGATGGAACTCAAAGTACATCCCAAGGCGCTTGGCGAAATTAGAC